GGGGGGGGGGTGGGGGCTACTGCTGGGCTACGCTACTGTGGGTGGATGAGGGTATTGAAGCTAAGAGGGCTGTTCTTGCTTTAGCATCAAAGGAACCCTTAGGAACCGGTTACCCTTAGGGAGTGCGTGTTCGATGTGGTCGTACCATTTTAGATCGGAAGAGATCATCACTTCTAAGTCTCTTTGTGCCTTAGCACTTTTGACTGGTTGACCGTGAAGGACATATTGATGAATGATAGGTTTCTGTTTTCGCGTCACAGACAACACCTCGCACTTATTTACGTTGAAATGCAGACGCCAATTCCTGCTTCGATGTGACATGATGTCAATGTCATCTTGAAGAGCTAAACAGTCAGAACTGTTGTTGATAGCTCTGGAGCACTTTTAATCGTCAGCAAACAATATAACTTGGGACTCACTATCAATAACTGATGGAAGGGTCATTGATATACACCAAGGAGAGTAGAGGTCCCAAGATGATTCCCTGTGGAACACCTAATATTACTGGAAGAGGCGTTTTGATAGCACCCTGTAGAACAGTACTCTGAAAACGGTTGATTTAACAAATAAAACAGCTTTTTCCGTACTCCGTTCAGTAATAAAGCACGCAGGACGTGGCGCAAGCACGAAAGAAGTTTAAGGAGAAGCCCGAGCCGTAGGCATTTACGCAAAAAGAAGATTGTCGCAGGATCTAACAGCACTTCGCGCGCGCGGATGGCGTCAGCAATGCTCCGTTCACTAATAAAGCACAGTTTATATTCTTTATATTCCATACCACGATTGATTACTATAGCTAATCTAGAAATATTTACCAAATTATTATTATTTCGGCTATTTATTTACCAATTGTTCAAATCGTGGTTAAAGCTGTGTAAATAGAAAAAAATGCGCGCTCAGCATGATGGCGTCATTCCAATGTCCTGATAAGCAAAATATCACGAAACATCTTTATTCTTTCATAGCTCTAAGACAAAGTCGGGGACCCCTCTTTTTATATTTATAATACCCAACTTTTGAGGGAAAATAAAAAATCTGACGATGGGATCAAATCGAAATTACATATTTTGTGCATAATTGGAAAATAATTTCACGTAACTTAAGGCTCCAAGTCCACACTTATAGCACAATGACAATTTATATTTCTAATTTTTAACAACTGACTGGCTTTAAACTATTGTATAGGAAATTCTACAATAGAGTTGTATGAAACATGTGAAAGATACAGCGAATAAATGAATCCTATAACTGACAAAACGTTACTTCTATCCAACAATCTTTACTTATTAATCAATCTAGAATTCTTTTTATTACTTATCGTTATTTTCCTACAGCACTCAACTTCAGTTCGATAATTTATCTCAGAAATCTTCAATTAACTAACATTACTGAGAATTGCTTAGCTGCAATAAATTTTAGTGTAGTTGCAGCGGCAATAAGCTAGCTGTCACGTTTAATCAGTCCAACGTGATGTCACGTCACTGTACTTCTTCTTGATTTGGGTCCATCACGCGCCCCATAAACAAAATGCTGCGTGTTGGCTTGTGGTAAATGAAGTACAGAAATGGATGGTCAGCTCGAAAACCACCGTATTTTACTATTACCGCAGTAGCCGCCGCTGCCTCGGTCCCTTTCTCGTTCACCTCCAAGAAAGCCTCGTGTACAACCTTACTGACACTCAGCCCACGGCTCCCAGTAATACCAGACAAATCTGCAGCGCCCGTGAACAAATTTCTGATGCCAAGATTATTGAGGAAATCAGTTGCTTCGAAGTGATGTTTGACTTTGAATCTAGGTACGTAGACTGTAATATTCTTTGCACGAACTGAATTCACCCACACATCGACAACAGTGGAAGAGATATCTTGTTCCAAAGTCCTCAGTGCTCGCGAGCCTCTGTTTACCGGGAGGACGAAAAACATCGAAGCTTCATCTCCAGCGTAGGGTAGTTCTAGCACCTCGCATCTTTCACTCAAAGTTCCATCGTAGAGATACTTGAACTCGCTGTTTTCTTTCATCAATTTTACTGGAATCACGCGGTCATCGAGATAAAAGTATGAATCAATTGTCTTCCTCTCGTCAAACTGGTATTTCCAGGTTCCTTTGAAATAGATAGCATTGACCAATACAAGGATAGTGCTCGAACCGAGGTCTGATGGCTTTAGCAGATCTTGAATCTTGTTCTCAGTTTTATTTTCAACCCATTTATTGATCTCTTGTCTAGCTTGTTCAGGGTAATTCGCGAAGTCGGCTAAAGCCATTCCTGCTTCAAAATAGAGCCCAGAATCTCTTAGAAAGCTTCTCAAAATCGTCATTCCTTTTCGACCCCAGATAAGGTTAGCGAGGCGCAGAACCGATTCACTGTTGTTTGGATGCAGGGCTTGGCCAAGGTCCTTGAAGTCCTGGTTAACAGTCTGTGGATCCCAATAAAAAACGGTTTCCATTTCTTTGGCTGTATTCCCCCTCGCACCAAGATGGGTCATGCCCAGGGTAATGGCGATGCTCAGAGGAGAGAAAAACAGATTCTTATCACGAAAGTTCACAGCATCCTTAAGCTGGTTGTAAAATCGGAAACCAAAGTCGTTGGTCAAATCAGCGAGAGGGTTTTTGATGACTGGCGGTAAAACTGGCGGTATTACTGAACACCAGGAACAAGAAACATAAAACAGCGTGAAAACCAAAACCAAATTCAGCATCTTGAACATACGATTGTAGTGTCCTCTGTTTGTATAAAATTTTAGCTCTCTTTAGCAGTCTTTATTTTCTGATTTGAGTTTCAATCCAGCTTCCTTTTATAAGCATTCCCGGGAACTTATTATTGGCGTCAGATTTTCCGGTTGACGTCGCTTGTGCTCTTGAAGTGACATCAACCATCCAAATTCAAATTAGCACTAGTTGAAAAGCATGTCTGATTTCACTTGCAATGATTTTGCTATTTTTAACCTTTAAAAAATGTATTGCAACAAAAAAGCAATACGATTGTGCATAAATACAATGATATTTATGATAATTATTCTGTTAACTAGTTCAATAGTTTGTCATGTACAGCCTTTATTTGTCTTTTATTTATTTATTTATTTATTTGTTCTTAAAAGGTCGACTTCACGGCATGAAATTTAGTAATTATGTCCTCTTGTAGGACATGGCTGATGTGATTCTATTCCTGCTTGAAACAATCCATCAACTTTTAAAAACATGTCTAGCAGCATGCGAAAAATTTCGTCCATGGAAATACTGAATATTTCATTTGGAATAAGGACTTCATCAGGGGAGAGTGGATTGGGACATGTATACGACCATTAAAAGAAAGAAAAAATTGAAAAAATAAAGATCAAGGTCTGCACAGACCATTTATAGGCGGGAAATGTGACGATAATGCGCTTTTTTAACCCAGACGAGTATTCAGGACTAGCCAAGTGCCTAATGCTAGCTTATAATGGTTTTCTTTGGTTTCCACCGGTCTGTGTGCATCTTTTACTATGATACTTCTGCTATTTTTACTACTACTACTGCTGCTGCTGCTGCTGCTGCTGCTGCTGCTGCTGCTGCTGCTGCTGCTGCTGCTGCTGCTGCTGCTGAGATTTTGCCCGCAGGCTGGCGCTAGGTGCTCGTGGTGCTAGTAGCCAGCTGTAGGATTTGTACTGAACCTGAAAGTATTCCAAAGTACTCCAGTATTTTGACCACTATCTCTAAACTTAGATATCGCCAAAATGTAACCCTGATATTATGCCGGTAAACACCTATATAGCCATCGCCTTTTTTTATAGTGGGAATAAGAGGATATGTTAAAAAGCTATTGTTTTCTGCTGCTTTCTGATTGGCTAACTCCACTATCCAAAGTAGAAATGTATTGTTTTTATTCTACAATTTGATTAGTTGCCCGCTGTATAAGTGGCCCGGCCGGTTATAGTGATTGTATATCCCTAATACTAATTTGTAAAAAAAATAATTATAATCTTTTGGTTTTCATCACTGTTCGTTTTCTCTTTAAAAAATATGTAAAATGTTCTTTAACGATGTTTAGCATGACAATTTGTTGATTGATTATTCATAAAACAAAATATACAATAAGCGAAAATGGGTGCTTATCTGTTGTTTAGAGACTTTCCAAAGCATTTTGGTGACAGGAATTGGTTTCACTATGATGGATTATAAAGGGGAAACCATTTAAGCTCTATATTCAAGTATCTTAAACCAAGGAAAAAAAAAAAAAACAAAAAAAAAAAAACAGAGTTGGCTAAATAAAAAAAATTCAGGTCACCCATCCAAGTACTAATCTCACTCAAACGTGCTTGACTCAGTGTCTTGTAAGCCCAAGTTTTTTCCACTGGGCCACGATTTCAGAAAATTAGCACAACAATAGCCATGAAAACAATGCACCATATAGACTAGATTATTTTCCACTTCAAATCAACGTGCCAGTGCGTGGCAGAGTGCAAGGGATTAGCTGTAGATATGGTCTGGGGGCCGGCTAGTCTCTCCCCTGATGCTTCGGCTAGAACACTATCCTGCGTAATCCGTACACCCAAGGGCAGAGGGACTTAATCGCCGTCATGTCCGAAGTCCATACGATGACCCAGCGGATGTCTAGGGGTATGGCATGAAGGCACTATTTTTTTTTTTCTTTTCTGTATTTTGGAATTAATTATCTAATTAAAGTTGGTGGACGTGGGTTCGATTCCCACTGCATTGAGAGTATTTTTTTTCTTCTTCTTGTTTTCATCTAGCCTTTGATCTCTTTATATTTCTTTCTTTATTTTGCTAATATTTTTAAAAGCGACATTTTTAAAAGCGCAACATTCATTAATTCAAGAAAATGATTTTTTTTTAAAGAAAATAAGTTTACTTTTTTTGCCTCTATTCAGCATTAACAGTTGAGCGATCTTCAACTGAGAACGTGGAGCTAAGTGCTAAGTTCCAGGTATAGAAATTTGTCTGGGATGCGTTGACTGACAAGAGTTTTTATTAAACTATTACCCCATTCACACCAAGGCTTAAACATGTTTTAAAGTTGTTTAACTAAACAGTTTTGGAAAACTATCTACGAACACTGCACAATATTTGGTGAAATAATGCATGTAAACTATCCTTTGTCTTGCTCTGACAATATATTAGAAAGTTTCATTATTTTGTAGGTTTCTAGTTTGTCAATTTTTTTTCCGAATGAAAACGCAGTTTAACTAAACACGTTTAGGTGTGAATGGGGTGTATGATTCTTAGTATTATATTCTATAAGTTCCTATTTTCTATTATGAACCATCATGAAAAACAAATTAATTTCGTCGTCGTTATGCAGGGGTAGTGCAACCTTAGACACAGGTACGTCTTTAATAGCCTTTGTCACAAACGAGTTGGAAATGGGCACTTTGATGTTTGGGGGCTGAGAAATGGGAAACGTCCCTTTGGGTAGACAGTAGCAGCAGCATAATATTAGAAAAATATTATAGGAATATCATAGAGACAATCACATCTGTCACACGGACGTACGTACGGACGGAAGTGAACTTTTCAAGCTATGAAAGATCAAATCGATGAGTTACCAATTTTTCTTAAGGAAACTCAGCCTAGAAAAAAATTGCATACAAGAAGCAGGGATCCCATCAGAGTGATTACGAACAACTGTTCCTTTTTCCGTACACTGTAAAAATCCGTTAAAAATATTGATGAAAATGTAAATGTGTTACCTGGATTTGATAGAACAACGTGTTACAATTTTTGATTCAGTTCGATAAAGATTTTTTGTTCTGTAAGCAAATCTTTCGTACGTGGGTTTTTTCCCCAGTCCGCTATGATCTTGTTTTATTTTCAAAAAATTAAGACTGCGACGAGAGACCTTAAAATTCTTACACTGTATCCCGATGTCAAATTCCATCATATTTTCATGGGTACTGAAGTATGATAGAAGTCGCGACTTCCAAGACTTCCAAGGTATTTCCATACTGTTGAAGAGACTTCCATGATACTTCCATCATCTCCCAACTTCCATGGCATGGAAATATGTTAGAAGTGGTGACTTCCATGATATTTCCATGGCATGTTGAAATGACGCGTGCACTTTGATGACCGTCTATGATACGGAGTGCTGACTTCCATGATATTTCCATGGTTTCTTAAATTTTCATGGTATGCAAATATGTTGGAAGTCACCACTTCCAATATATTTCCATTATTTGGAACGCGCACGATTTTTTCAGTATACTCGAATGCATTTTCTGTTGCACACCCTATCAAGGCTCAGATGCAGGATTACCCTATGTGTCCAAAGCAAATCCTGGTACAGTATGAACGTGACCACATGGTCACATGGTGGACAGGAACTCAAAAAGCATGAAGCATTTCGAGAAGGGACTCTTCTTGTTTCTTTTCAAACTCTATTGGAAATGGCCAAATTGAAGTCTACGAGGCTTGTTGCGATGGATAAATGTTGAAAATCATAATCATTGTCATCATTGTCATCATAATCATAATGGGAGTTGAACTAGCACGCTGGATTTTCCCCCCCATTATAGGCCATGTGCCATTCTCTTGAGAATTATTTTCTTTGTTTGAGTTCTTAAGGAGACCTATTATTAGCGAGAAATAGGCATAAATATGCATTTGGAGCCGTTGAAAAAATAATCAAATGCGGAGATGTCTAATTCAAAAATTTACGTGTCGAAGACCCAAATGGAACTTGCGTGATATCACAAAAAATCTCTTTCAGTTACTTCTACGAAATTTAACCAAGTTTCCAACGACATGCCATATTCTTGGTAATTTGACTTCTTTGTTTCCCTGTAACACTTCACATATGAGGAAAAGGAAAAAATACGACTTTAATAGAGAAAACGTAAACTTGAGAATTTTAAAAGAAGAAAGGAATATAGGATCAAATTGGACAGACGCTGGTATTGCATTAATGAGTCAAACGTCTTTTATAAAACTAAGCTTATTTTAGTACTGAAAAGTGTCCCCAATTAGTGCGAAAGCGCTAGAACGACTAGACACTTAAATAAAGAGTTTTATAGTTATGCAAAACTTCAAAGACAAACATATTAGTTGTTTCTCAAGTTCATAAGAAGACAAAATATTATTATCAAAGCTAATGTGTCATAGCAACACTGACAGTTTCTATACACAACACAGACTACCCGAAGACCCGACGCGACAGAAAAACAAAAATAGTTTTCCTGATTTTGTTTTAGATGAGTCATTCTTCTTACACATCGAGCAAGAGCACTGAAAAGAACTCGTCGAATAGAAAGGTAAGGCACAAAACGCGAAGCAACATCGGTGACAATACTGATTATCAGTATTTTCTGATGTTACAGAAATGTGTTATTACGATAATTATTCGTGAAACTTTTTCAAGATTTTCAAGATCATCCCTTGTTTTGTTTCAATTGTTTCCATTTTAATTTAACGTTTTAGTTTCACACACCATGCTCTCAGTCGACATCTCCCAATTTTCCTTGATTGTTTATATTAATATCAGACCATGTAAACACGGGAAAACGTCTACAGTATTTGTTTCATAAAAGAAACAGGATAATTAAGGTGGCTCGATGGGGTTTCCTTAGCGAGCTACCTTTCAACTTCAAACCGTGAATTCTTGGTTTGCAATCAATTCCAAGAGAGCACAATAACAAAAGGGATGTCCGCCATGTTGAAAGATATAACAAAAGAATTCATTGAAAAATCTTTTGTCAAATTCTTCCAACATGGCGGCTATGACGTCTATTGCAAACGAAGAATACCCCAACGCAAACAATTAATAAGCCTGAAGCGAGATGACGTTTTACCCCCTTCTCTAGACCATAATCTTTTTCACACTGCTTTTGTTCTTTAATTATGACTATTGTTCCTGTATTCTCTAAGGAATCAAAAATTTTAATATGAAAGAATTTTAAAAACTATTATGGTATAGAGTCGGGGGTAAAACGTCATCTCGCTTCATTCTTATTGGGGAAAAAAACTATTAAGAGGTTTAAAGGAAAAGATACAATTTTTGAATGAGCAAGCTTTTACTGAAATCGGAATTAATATAAATCCGCTAAGTATTGGTGCGTTTGCTTTATTACCAAGGTTCTCCATTTTTCCCCACTAAGTTCTTATTAAGATCTTGGAGGAAGAGAAGTTTGTTCAAGGTTCAGAAAATTTAAAGAAAACATTTGAGAGCATTTTCAAGAAATTGAAGTTTTGAAGCATAGAAAGTTTGTTTCGTCCCTGCATTTAAGATTTGACGGTTCAAAGGTAGCGCGTGAAAACCCAATCAAGCCATCTTACACGTCTTCGAATCGAATATCTTATTCTCATTAATTATTAATTTGCTCATCTACCAACCAGGGTTTCTTATTTGTACCACGTGCAGTAGTTTGAAACCCCCATCAAATACGACCGCACCCATTTCAAAGTTCTAGTACTTTGACTATATCAAAGTCCTACTACTTGGCCGCCGAGGCATTTGAAACTCCACGAGGATTTTGAAACCCCAATAGAATACAGTGACGAGTATTTGAAACATTACATCTATTTTAAAGGAGTGGCCTTATGATTTTTTTAGTTCGTTACCATGAATTCCAAGCGATTGCTTGTTCTTGGCTTGTGCCTCTTCCTCATGATTGCGTTGGTGGACAGTGATGAGAGGTCTTCTAAAGTGAAACGAGGTCGGAACGAGAAGCGGGGAAATTGGTTTGACAGCGAAGGAGGTAACTGAAAAAATCTTTGATTAAAAATCTTTCAATAGATGACTAGTTGATTGATATTTTTTGAATTCCAGGTGGATGCAAGGACGTTTCCGGCGTGCCTTGTAAAACGACCACTGGCGGTTCGTGGTGATTATCCGCCCAAAATGTTGTTATTGCTAAAATAATATTGACCTCTCTTGTTCATGAACGTGACGGAGTACAAAGTTGAAATGGAAATGAAACACGGATAAGGTTAAAAAACAACAGCGTTAACTGATGTAGTAAATCGAATATGGAATATTGGAATATGGTAAACTAATTTCCCGAGGGACCAGATATTAAGTGTTTTGTTATATAGTAATCCTGAAATATTGAGGAGCTAGTTTACGAAATAAAAACTTCACGAAAACTGACAAATTTTCAGGCTTTCCCCCCAAAAAACACAGGTAGCCCAGTCAATGTCAGTATGAAATCTAGTTCAATTCTATTCTGGGTCTTGTCTCAAATAGTTTATGAGGACATCTTACGCACATTCTGGGGATTTCTCTTGACATATACAGACAACACTTTTGTCGTGTCTTTAATCTATACTTCGCATAATTGTACGTGTTTGGACGGCCTCGTGGTAAGACACATGTAGGATACCACAAAAGTTTCAGAATAGAGGCTCTGCACCATCACGTGATGGCAGCCATGACAGGAACAATTGAATGTGGCCTAATCTGATTTACATAAGAAAGAATTCACTTTCCAGGGGAAAATGGTCTGTCGTTGTTTCAGGCCCAGTAAATAGAAAGTTTTAGATTTACGTTCACGGCAAACGTGAAACGTCAGTTGACCAGTAAAAATTCTTTTAAATTACTGAAAAAGAATCGCAAAAAAGTCCAAGTAGTAGAAAAACAAAAGAGTATTTGCGCTTGGTGAGAACGTTTGTAAAAGGTAAAGTAAAATACACGAAACTATGAAAACGTGGTCAAGTTTGCCGTTTGTGGGGAGAAAAAAAAGTGAGTCAATCTAAAACTCTCTATTATCTGAGAATTCGCGTCTCGGTAAATATTCCCCGATATTCACTTCGCCTTCGGAGAATAATCGTTAATTATTATATAATGTATTATGAATGCAAGTTGACCCATTYATCATCAAAATAAATACGAGAATGTGATGAAAGGTCTTTTTGCTATGACAATTATAAACTCTTATTTCAAAAGTAAAAAAAAAAAAAAAAAAAAAAATCATTAAAAGTCTCTCAGTAATTATCCAACTGTAAAATTAGTTCTGAAAACTCCTCCTAAAAGTCCATTTTTTTTTTTTACATTTTTGGACAACATAAATCAAAGGTATTGCAAGGCTTGATGGAGTTTCACCAAACCCATTTCTTTAGTTTTTATATGAGAATGTCTTTGGACAAATTTTCACTGAAATTTTAATATTGTAGAGAGAATAAGAGAAAAATATCAAATGCCCTTGGCAGGATTCGAACCCACGTCTTCGGTATTCTAGTCCGATGTGTTAACCACTACACTACAAGGACCAACCACGCTGGTAACGCAGCCAGAATATGAAATGTAAGGTATTCGTGAGGATCCCAGAGCGATATTAAATTTTTAGACAATTTTTTTTAGAAATTTTAATATTGTAAATTGAAAATTTCGGTTTCTATACCTACTTACCTAGAGACAGACAAAACTAATCGAGTGGTTATGAGAAAATAATGAAAGATGCCAGATTTTTCAAATGAAAAACTTCATTGATTTATTCCTTCGCGATAAACATTCGAAGTACATTCAAATTGAACCGCCAACAGACATCAAAGCTCGTCGAAAAACAATAGAAAAACTGTTACATTTTTAGTCAAAATTCTTCTACCTAAGAAGATGTCGGGGGAATTCGTTTCTCATGTCATCATTTTTGTTTAAAAATCTTTTTCATAAATAAAAAAATGATCTAGAGTAACGACTAGACAATGTCTACGCCGTTCTGTAAAAAGCATTAATTTTTAATATGGTTTTTTGCATTCAGGTGACCTTCGGCTTAACAGCTTTAACAATTACTTTTGAAGGTTGTTTTCAACAGACTTCGTCAAGAAAATCGAGAAAACCAAGGAGAAATAAAGGCTGCATCGTAAAAAAGCTGAATTAAGATACGCTGAAAGGTAAGTTCGATAAAAATCATTTTTTAAGTTTTGTGCTTTTAATTCAAACTTTTAGTAAGTCTGCATACTTTTCTACTATGATTGAGGTAAATTATTTTTCTTTGCGTGTGGAGAAAAAAGAATACTTTAGAGTATGGGTTTTCGTGTTGTTGAGATTTAAATGGAAGCTGAATCATTTAACGGTGATATAAAACTCAATATAGAACTCTTTCGTTTACAAATGAAGAAAAACGGAGTTTATGCTCTAATTTTGATACGCAGTTATTATTTGCAGCTGCATAAGTTGCTTGATATACTGCGAGGATCAGCTCAATTTGATACACTACCTGACCGCATTACTATAATATATTCTATATATATTCTCATTTACAGTTACTGTTAACACACAACCAGAGCAGCTCAAAACACATAAACACACACAAAAGATCATTTGTCAGATTATAACCTTGCAATGATCACTTGTGTATTTGTCTTTATGGTTGAGTAGTCACTAAATCAGTGTGCAATTTTGAATTTATTTCATAGTTTTACTGCTTGGATCTAGCATTAAATATTATTTTAAGAAATATCAAAATAGATACGGTATTCAGGGGCGGCGGAAGCTGAAAAAGTTTGGGGGGGCACTCCAATATTTCACGGTACCTTGAAATGACCCCCCCTCCCTGTTTAGCTTGATTACAAACGTGTATGTGTGATATTTCAATCAGTAACATTTTGCGCGCATTAAACCACTTGCAATTGTGCTGAGAGACACAAAAATGATGCAAGTCGTCGCTAGATACATCGTATATTTTTTAGATACAGAAAATTATGTAATATCAAAATAATAAATAATGGTAATCATAACCAAATCTCATGCGTTTTTGTTTGTGTGTGAGGCATTATATTCTGTGGGGGCCAGGCCCCCCAAAAAAATCTAGTGGGGGGGCCAGTGCCCCCCCGGCCCCCCCGCTTCCGCCGCCCCTGTATTACGATAACTTGATTGTTTTCAAAACATTGGCAAACTTTTGAAACACAGTATATTTGGTGAGAACTGCATGAAACCAGTTAAAAATACAATATTTATATTTATATATATATAATACTTAACATAAATGTTAACAACAAAAAAATCCTTGATAAAAGATAACGACAATCGTTTTAAATTGGACCCTGATTCGGCAGTAATGCTGCCATTATATCGTCAGTAATTTAAAGTGACAGTAAGTAGCGACTTGGCTAAAATTAGTCCAAAACCAATGTCTCCTGTCTTCTCTTTCGCAAACTAGTGCGTCGCAATGCAATGCCTAGACGTTAGTTAAACTTTAGTCTAAATAAACTTACAGAATGTTTCGACATAAATAAATGTAGTATGAATAGCGAAGAATGTGAGTGACAAAAGAATTTTACAGTTAAAGTTTTAGACTAACATTGGAGACTTGTTGGTTAAAAGAGGGCTTCTCCCTGCTAGTAGCATGGGATGGCTTTCTTTTCCCTTTCTTTCTTTATATTTGAAAGGCGGTTTTTGCAATACTCCATCTTACAGTTCCGTTCCAAGCCGAGACTGGAGTTTCCGCGCATGATAAAAAGTATAGTTTTGCTATGCGCGGAAACTGCAGCCTTGACTTGCAACTATTATTCGTGGTCACTCGAACGGAACCGTAAAATGAAGTATTGCCTGATCTATGAGCTTAAACGAGTCATTAGAGCTTAAGGAAAAATTACTCGCGGTGAACTATGTAAATATTTTTAGATGTGAGAGGCTTTATCCCCAGTGAGGTCGTCATACACGCACTTGACAAAGTGTTGACAAGTCTCGTCGACATAACAGGAGGAGAGAAAAAACGAGTTATCTTTATCTCTAGGTAGCGAGGGAAAGAGATAATTCATGTATGATTCATTCCATTAAAAATCCTGGTCAACTGCGTTAACAACTATGTTATTGGTTACATCGTTCGACTACATCGCTTTCGAAGCTCTTCCATACACCGATGGAGCAAAATTTCAGCAAATTTGTTATGCCAATGTCCTGTCAAATCCTTACTTATTGCTAATAAACAAGATACAGTCAAATAATCGTCAAATCCGTAATCCTGTTTTCCTGTCCTGCAAATGAGTTTAGTCTTTTTGCTTTGTTATGTCTTTAAGATCGAATAATACTTAATAAACCTGAAGCGAGATGACGTTTTACCCCCGTCTCTAGACCATAATCCTTTTCACATTGCTTTTGTTCTTTAATTATGACTATTGTTCCTGTATTCTCTAAGGAATCAAAATTTTTAATATGAAAGAATTTAAAAAACTATTATGGTATAGAGTCGGGGGTAAAACGTCATCTCGCTTCAGGCTTATTCGGAGACTTTATAATAGGAATTTCTGATGTTGTAATTAGTTTTTAGGGAAAAAAATTAAAAAAAAAAAAAGATTTTTGACTGAAAATACTCAAAACATTTTTAGTGCAATTGTGGATTTGGTTTTTATTTCGCATGGTATTTTGACAAAACCTCAAAAAGAAAAGATTAAGTCTTCAAAAATGAGATGCGCGAAATGGATGCGCAGTAGCAGCGATCTGAACTACCTTAAAAGATACGAGCCTTAAATTCACCTAATAAGCCTCCTCGGCTCTGGAGCGCTCCTTCCCTTGAGAATAATATTCTTTGTTTGAGTTGTATCCATATTCATGTGTCTTCTCATGTGCAACCGAACGCAAACCTTAAACAAAGAAATGATACTCTAGGGAATGATACGTGGTCTGAAATGGGACAACATTACGTCAGAGCCGAGAAGCAGGAACGTTTTCATATAAGAATGGAAATAAATAAAGTAACAAATAGGAATGATCTTTTAAAGCAAAACTGTTAGAAGTATTTCACTGTTTTGAAGGCAGAGACTGACATTTTTGATATTACCTTTATGACATACACCTATATCAAAAAACGTTGCCGGATGGATGGAGACCTGCAATAGGTTGCTATCAATAGACGTCACTTCCGGTAATAGCTCTTTTTTGATGGCTTGTAGAATCCTGGAGGTTGTTTTGATCTCTTGTTTTCTGGTTTGATGTCGTGAAAATAGTCAAATACAATAGTTTGAGGACTTATTCTGATATGTTTTGACTTAGCATCCGCTAGTTGCCCCCCAGTCAACCGCTTGTTTGCCCCCCAGTCAACTCCAAAACGTCATGCGCAGAATTCAACAATAATCGCAAGTTTAGGTTGGCTCCATATCCAAAATTGTTTCTCTTAGGGATATTAGTAATCTGGCCAAGTTTCATGAACAATTCAGCATTTTTTTGGTTGGTAACAGCTGGACTATAACTGCACAGAAATGCCTTTGTTTAGTTTCATATCGATCACCCATCTCAGATCTCTGACCGACAAAGTTTTTTGAAATTAATGTAAAAAAGATGTATTTATAAATTTAGATATATATATTTTTTCTATTGTCTTTCCTAGAAAATCCAGATAAGACAGGGGGGGGGGGGGGGGGGGGGGGGAAGGTGTGATACTTATATATGAATGTAATTTTGACTCATTCTAGAATCAGTTTTTCAGAGAGTGCTCAGCTTTATAGGAGCAGTAAATATTATTATAATTATTGTTCGAGAGTTTGGAATTGATTCCATTTATTGGTTTATTGCTACAGGTCTCGGGTTCGTAATAATATTGATTTATATGATATGAGTCCTAAAAATGTCGCGCGGCTCTTCATCTCTTCATCAACTTCCCTGTGGAGATCCATTCAATTCTCCTAGTCATAACATCCAGGACATGCAAGTAGCAGTCATATCGGGGAACTTTACCGATATTATTGATAAACGTCGGGCAAGCAGAGGCACTTTACATCCATATAATCATTCTCTTCCGCTTCGATTGCTTTTTCCTTATTCAATTTATTTTATCACCGAACTTCTTATCATTACATTGTACATATTTGAGACACATTTTTAGTACTAAATAGTCTTAGAAATCCAGGTTTAGGATTTCCAACTTTTCAAGCTGGCTCAGTCTTGAATTACAGAAGTCAACAAAATAGAGCATGCGCAGACAAGAATTTCTATCACGTGAGCTAATCTGTTGACATAAGAGTGACATTGATTGACAGCCAGTTGGTACTTGCTAGTTGATCAGACTTAACACAGAAATCTTATAACAGATGTCCACAAAGGTCCTGAGGCATATGCTCTTGGGTACTATTGCGCAACTTGTATATCTATATTGTCTTGGAGGAATCAGAAAAATTTTTTAGATATTTTATAACTGTACTATCACAGGTATCTCAGTAAAAAGCTTTCAAAATGGAAGTAAGTCTGCAAATAGCAATTAGCACGATCTTAAAATCTTATAATCTTTTTGATAAATTGTTTTTTGCTCGATTTTATAGACAATCCTCAAGTGCCATGTGGCTTGTCACGCTTGTTGAGATATCTACCTTCATAGCCGTTGGCATTGCCAGCAACTTCTACGTCGACACGGTCAACGGATGTGACACTCCTATTTTTCACCGTCACCATGGTAACGCCTTACTAAATCACGTGATCAAGACCCTGCCTCTGTTTTTTGCGGACTGTATGACGGCATGCCAAGAAACATTGGGCTGTTTTTCCATCAACTACTACAAGAATCAAGGTTTCGTGTGTGACTTGAATCGATCTACCAAAACACAAGATCCCGGATCATTTGTGCGCATGTCAGGATATGAGTATGCTGAGGCTGAGGTAGGAGATAGTATTGTTAATAAAGATTAGATTAATCTTTGGTAGCAGCCCCTTCTCCATCATGATCAAGGTTTGTAATCCTGAGTATTTTTTCTTGTTTTTTTTTAGAAAAAAAAGTATTGTGAAAAAAGCAAGTGTCATTCAAAAGAAGGTAAGAAAAATACTGGCACTTTCTTGGTGTTGTCACCTCAGACACGAAGACAATAAAACAATTTATAGCCAAAGATAATAAATAGACCATTTTCGAGTTCCAAATAACCGCTGTGTTTCTTGATTACAGACTTATTTACTCAGGGTTTGCCTCGATTTTGTGCAGAATATTCATGTGTTCAAGTCAAGGTCCATCGAGTTTCAAGACACAATTCTTGAGAATTTAGAATAAAAATTTTGTTTTTAGAAATACTGACGTTGGCCAGACTTGGGAAAAGAAATCTTGGGCACTTGTTAGACGCAATCTCACTGAAACGTGTGGATTCCACTTGACTGCAAAAGTCACTATTGACATTAAGGCAATAAAGACATGTCATAATGAGCCAGAGAAGGTTTAAACCTGCCCTATCTTGTTCTCATTATCCACGTGCAATTAGTTCCAAAACTAATTTGTGTTTGTATTGTAGAAGTTGTGCATTCTTTACTTTATCGTTGGTATACGTATTTTGTGAATATTTAAACACTGATACGGGTAGATGAGTCTATGATCAACGAACACAGCGGTAATTTGGAATTCAAAAATGGTCTATTTGGAACTAAACTATACCCTACAAGGCGAAAGCCCTAACCCCGAATTCAATACAGCTTGCTACATCAAGAATAAAGACCCAAACATCAAAAGAAAACGAAAAACGTCAATTTATCTTTATTTAAAATTATTCTTTTGCAGAAGTGTTTGTCTTCTTTAGTCATTTGATAATAAATTTCATTGCTTGATGATTATTCTGCAATTTGACTGGAAATTTGAAAAAGAGTTCTCATCTTGTTTGCATTATAAAACATTTTTCTTTGTTTTTAAGCTCTGCCAGATGGTTGGTTCAGCCTGGACGATTCGAAGTTTAAGTTCATTTCTGATAAAAAGTCCTGGCAAGACTCCAAGCAGCACTGCCAGACATTTGGCGCGAAACTAGCGTCCTTTGAAAGCGAACTTGAAAGCAGGTTTGTTCATCAAACAATGAACATGACATCTACAGTAAATACTCCAGCACCAAGTGGCGATAACCCTACTACACCAAGTGGAGGTGGAGGCAATAGTGAGTAATTTATATTTTTAACAAACCAATTTTTACATGTCTTTTTTCTTGAGATCTACGCATATTTTTTATCTTCTCAAACGTCATTAAAGTAGAAAATCTTTTTTTTACACAAGCATTTCTTTTTATACAATAGGACATACCCTACCATAATGCTTCGCGAATTTTCTTTCTTATTTAGATTTGTATTCCCTCATAAGAATAGTAAGACAATTGGTGCTAATTAACTGAACAAAAGAAAGTGTGCGAGGGAGTCTGGTAGTAGATGCAAACGTCCTATTGCGTTCTTTCAAAACGTGCTGAAATATACTTATTTCAATAAAGTTAGTCACCAAAAAACGTAGAATGTTGTGATCGCTGAGAATCATGGGTAAAAAGGTAAAGGAAAAGCACCTATATTTAACGTCGGTAGTTCCTTCAGTTGAAATTCAACTGCTATCAATGGAAGCCGACGGTGCGCACTTTACCCCCTCTCGCCATCAGTGCTCTGTTTTAAGAGTATTTAGAGCTGAAGCTACACGGATTAGAGAGAAGTCGAAACAGACGTGGAGACCCTGAGGATCGAACCGTGGACCTCAAGCTCTGAAGGTCGCGCACTAACCAACTGAGCTACGCCTGCTCAGGGAAAAATTTCATATCCAGCAAGTAAAGATTTTGACACAAACTGCAGCAGTTGAGGATGCTCAGAGGAGGTGAATTTGTAGCTGTAAGAAGATCTCAAGTCCATCAACAGTTATCAAGCGGTTGAAACATGTAAAATGTATCTACCCATAATGCTTGTCGGTCTCAGCTTTGTAGATTTTCAGGTGACTAACTTTGTTGAAATAAGTGTATACGTCTGCACAAAAAGCAGATTATCTGAAGCTATGTTGAATAGTTTATATGCTTTTCTCCTAGGTGGAGGTACTACCTTAGTCGCTGTCAAAATGGACGGTACTGATCCAAGCGAAACCTTCAGGTATTTTCTAGCTACTTTTTTTGTAACCAGGCCTGCATAATGAAACTCAAAACTTGTTAGCATCGAGCCCGTGCATATTTTCAATTCGGCGTCGCGCAAAAATTTAAACCGACTTCAGGGGAAACCTTACATTTGGCGTTATTGCGCTATAAAATTCACGAGCGATAACTAAAAGCTGATAACTTCACATGGGAATATACTACATGTGATGGTATTTTCACGGGCATAAGAGTAACAAGCTTATAGAACCTATAATAAATATTCACGGGAAAAAACTTCGTATAATGTCCAATGCCATACAAACAAGCTTGAATTTGAAGTCCCAAGTCATTAATCTAGTTTTAAACTAAATCCTAAACGCGTTCTGTCTCGTTTGAATTGGTTCTGCAACGAGACCAAAGTCAGTACAGCGCGAAATGAAACCTATCTACTCATCGCGTCCAACCAAAACCAAAGCCGGCAAATCCAAACAACCCAAATTTGTCGGAGCAGCTCAAATTGTACCTAGTGCAATTCTAGAAGAAACAAAAGTTAGATATGAGGATTTGAAATGGATCAAGATACTTTGAAAGAACGGGGTTACCGTAGAAAAGATAGCAAGCAGACTTGCTTGGAAAAGTAAACCCCGCATCCAATTGCCTATTTGACCAAGAATTATAATGGCGAGGGGTACCTTACCCCGGTTAGGCCAGCAGTGAGTCGCTACTTTTTCCCACACGGGATAACGCTAACAAGTTGTGCATGTTCACTTCGCGCTGATTGGCTTGTGGCCTCTGAAGGAATCAGCTAGTTGTTCTATTTTCCTTTTGTTTACCTTTGCTGTGCGGTGCGGTGCGGTGCGGTGCGGTGCGGTGCGGTGCGGTGCGGTGCTGTGCTGTGCTGTGCTGTGCTGTGCTGTGC